TCGTGGTTGATTATAATAACTTTGTAGCTTGGTGTAAGCACTTTAATTCATCTGAAAGAGCACTAAATGGACTATTAGGCATTTTGAATGAAAGAAAATCTCATGAAGTAGCTTCTGAATTCACTTCAGAAGTATTTAATAATAATAATAATGATAATAATGGATTGGATTTATATAGCGCTTTTCAAGGCACTCAAAGCGCTTTACAATGCCACTATTGTATGTAAACATGTGACTTCCCGAAGCCACCCAAGTCTCCATAGCCTGTCTTTGGTACTGTTTTCCAACTCAAAATGTACAAAAACTGCTCATTACTAGATCAGCAGATCATGCATTAATGGTTAAGAATAGTATTGCGGCTATTTCTTAGAACTGTTTTTTTTTCTTGAATGGTTTTCTCTTATCTTTTCCGTTCCACCTTGGTGAAAATGTTGCATCTTCTACGCCCCCACAGTTGAGTTTTTCCATAAATTGAAAGTAAAAAAGCTCAGTGTCAATCAGACCCTTTACCACTTAAGTCCAGAGTGAAATAACAAGACCAGATTCAGATAAACATTTGAGCACATTCACAAATCATGTTTTTCTGTAGCGTTGGTTGAACTTCTAGGACAATTGTGAAATTTCTAAGTAGCTACTCATCATGCTGCCCAGGCGAAAAATCTATATGAGTTTAATGTCCAAATATCTCTACTTCTACATGATAATTTGGCACAAATCTTTAGCTTAAATGGTTGAATCACAGATGAATTAATTCCAGGTTCTGGATGGTCTACCTTGAAGTTTGGAACATATTATATTCATAGTCCCTGTAGAGGTTTCAAAGTTTAGTCATCTACACATTAGACTAACAAGCGATCCAGAGAGATCCTTGCTTAGATTCCAGGAGGAGACACAAAACCCTTTGATGGTCCGTCAGGAAGGGCATCTGGCATAAGAATCTGTGGAGCTACCTGCCATGGTGAGACCATGTTATTAAGGGAGCAGCTGGAAGCCTTTCTTTTTCTGCCTTCTTCCTCTTTTATATTCATGGTCCCTGTGGGATAAACTATTAGGAGTTTGATGAATGTCTGATTTTTGATTGAGAGCTATATTTTCAGAGTGTATTATATGACCAAATGCCTGGAATAAAGGAGACAGACTAATGACCCTCATCCCTGCTTCAGAAGGACTTTGTTCTTAGTGCAATTTAACATCAAGTATCTCCCCCACTGTTCCCATGTTAGCCTCCAGATGTTGGACCACGAGTTTGCTAGTTAACTTTCTTTCTTTCCTACTAACAATCATAAACCCACATTCTTTTTAAATGCCGGCAGTCTTTTGGTTTGTTATATTTATCAATGTTTTTGCTGTGAAATCTACGTAGAATTTACAGCATAGTCTAATTCGGATGGCCGTTACCAACATGTATACCAGTATGACCTGTGTTGATGGTGATTCTTAGTTACATTTGTAGTGAGGTGGACGACAGGTTCCAGCGCAGGCTACAGTGCAAGTTACCTACATCTAAAATGCTTAAGTCAAAGGCAGATTGACTTCTTTCAGGTTCTTGAACATATTCATCTCTCTCCTGAAGAAGACTCTCACCTGAGGGTTAATGTTTATTTTGGCCTTACTAGGGTAAAAAAGGCAAGACTATCTAGTGGTTGACATGTCAGTATCCTATGAGCATTTCTCAGCCAGCTCTAATTCTGACACTTCTAGCTTTAAGATGGCGAGAACCAAAATGCTCAACTTGAGGCTTCACAATCTGATGGGCGATTTCAAAGTGGTTATATCCAGCTTTTATTTACACACTATGGTTGGATTCATACTAACACCTCTAGCTGCAGACCTGATGGCATGGTTAAGCATTAACATCATAAAATTTGCTCTCAGTTTTTCATACCTGAGAAGTATAGATATTTAAGATGAATAGTAACAAAGGCAGAAGAAGTATACTTGCTCGACGGTAATATAGCACACAAGTGCTTGTGGTTTCGCCGCCTGTACTCGCTTCAGGTTTTCTTGTGGTTTAAAAGAAAAAAAATCCCCTTTCTGGCACAACTGACTGAATACTGACAAAGCCAAAAAAGCAGTGCAGATCCAGTGATGAAGACTGTGCTTTTGCCAGTGTCTGTTTATATTTTAGATGATAGAAGTTTAGTCCTTGCCTGTGGAGACGAGGACTATTTTTGAAGTGAGTTTGATTCGGCCTGATCCAGAGTCGAGTTAAGGAGAACCACAGGGTGATTGTTTGTGGTAACTTTATGATTTTTACCGCTTTCTCTCTTTTTTTTTTTCTTCTGTTTGTTTTTTATTTTTATAAAGAAAAATTCCCACCCAAAGTTGTTCCCGGGGGACATTGTGGAGTATCCCAGGAACAAATACTTCTCTCATTTCGGAGTGTACTATGGAGAAAGGGACGGAGTTCCATACGTCGCTCACCTAACGTGTCGAGGTTGGTGACACTTTTTAAGGTTTTACTTCTCCACAGACAAGTGAAAAAAGTCTGCCAGAGCAGGAATAATTTCTCGAATTTTGGTTAAAAGAAATACAATTATTTTATAGAAAAGAGTGTTAAACAATGAAAATCAGCAAGAGGTTATTATGTTAGTCTCAAATTCTGCAAAAATGTAAAAACTGTCTATGAGAAATTTTTCATCTTTGAAAGATGGACATGATGTGAGAACGCAGGATTTATGCTTTATATGTGATGATATCTACTGAGAAGAGATGGACGACATGTACACCTACAAGAATCTGCTCAGTTTTCTATATAACACAGAAAAAAAAGGTTTCCTATCAGCTCATGTAACAAAGATCATAATATGACAGATAAACTTTATTTTTCTTGATCCTTCCTCTGGAAATCTGCCTCTTAAAATAATTTGATTTCTTGTCTTTGTCTGTCAGATTCAGACACCAAACTGCTGCTGTACGGCCGAGCTCTCAGGTCAGAGGTCAAACTGGACCCTCTGGAGCTTTTGGGGAAGAAATACAAGGTAGCATGAGTGGTTTAAACATACATGATGAGTTTGTTAAAGACAGCGACTTCAAGTGTGTTTTAAAACAGGTCAACAACATGCTGGATGACACGCACCCTCCGCGGGACTTCCACGGTGTGGTGAAGCCCGCCATCGAGGACATGATGGGCCGCGAGGTGACCTTTGACATCCTGTTTCACAACAGTGAGCATCAGGCGACACTTTTTAGATACGGAGTGAAGAAGTCTGAACAGGTGAGCCAAGAGAAGAGCGCCACCTTCTGTTTATTTGCTGTGAAGCATGCTTAAAGGTGGTGTGTTTGTGTGTGCATGCTGCAGATTGATGAGATCTACGAGTATATCATGCCAGCCTGGAAGAAACTGTTCAAGGAGAAACAGCTGTAAACCAGGTGTGCGCTCATCTTCACCACCAGGGGGTGCTGTTCTTCTCTGAATCAGCTGCATGAAGTTTGGAGGAAGTTTAAAAAGAATCCTTCTCCTCAGTTCCTACCCTTACCTTAGTCCCTTTTTACACCTCCTCCCCTTCTCTCTTGTGTCACCCTTTCTTCCATTCTACTTCTCCTTATTCCTCGCATTCTCCCTTTTTTCTGTCATCATTCCTTCCCTTCTTTTTTACTTACTTTCCCACCACCTTTCCTTGTTATCATATCCTCACTTCTATTTCTTTACATTTCTTCCTTCCTGTTTCCTTATTCTTCCCCTACCCCTTCCTTCATGCCATCATTTCTTCATTTATCCCATCCCTTAATTCCTTCCTTTCCTTCATATTACCTCCTTACTTCCTTATTCACCTCCTTTCCATTATCCTTATGTCCCTCATTCATTTCCTTTCTAAACCCCTCCCCCCACCCATTAGTTTTGTTCTTGATTTCCTGAAGAATTATCATTATTTGTATTTGTAATTTTTTTTACTAATATTATATTATTTGTTAAATGTGTTTATGTATATGCACTGATTTTTAAAATCTCAATTTCATTTACAGGAAAAAAAAAGAAGTACTTGTGCAAGAAAAAAAAAGCAATTACCAAACTGAAACCAAAGCAAAAAAAAAACAACAACAACCATAAAACAGATACATTAGGATGTTAAGATGACCTTAGAAGTGTTTAATAATGGCACTTTCGTTCTCAGAAATAAAGAGAAAATGTTCATGCTGTTTCATTAAAATGATGAGATTTTATACATTTTGTTAAAATATAATCTTTATCTTGAACTGTGATATTTCTTATTTTTGTTACTTGTAGTACAGTTTTTCCCTGTTTTAGCAGAACATTTTCCTCCCTGTTGGTTGCACATCAGTTTCTGTCTGAATACATTTTTCATGGGAGGCTCATTCACTCTTAAAACTGCCTGTGAGTGTCTAAGTTGTTCTAAATAAACTTTTATGTGCCACATTAAAAAAATCTTGTTAGAATCCTTCCTTCCTTCCTTCCTTCCTTCCTTCCTTCACAGTTTGGGAGCCACAGTACCACCTTCAGTCTTCTTGTGCGCCTCTTTAAGCCAGGATATCAGGATTTTGTTGGTCTCTGCCGGCTTTTCCATCTGTGTCCAGTGTCCACACTCTTCGATGTGTCCCCTGGTCAGGTTTGGCATCTTCAGTTAATAAATAACAAATATCAGATTAACTTCCAATAACCATTGATTGCTCATATGACTGTGTCAGTGCTTTTGTTTCTTACCGAGTCCTCCATGCCCTTGGTAAAGGACGGCAGCAGTACGGGGTCTTTACCCGCCGTTAGCATCATTGTTGGCATTAGCAGCTAAAACACGCAAACATCTGACTGTGAATCAGAAAGCTTGATAACAAGATGTGACTGCCAAGTCAACAAGTCTGATTTATCCTTCATTATATCAATAAAGTATTCTGATTCTGATCTGATTATGATTATGATTCCAGAGGTGCCTCCTGCTGGTCAGAATGCAGGTTTAAAGCAATTTTGCATTTGCTTCAATATTGGGACCCCAAAGTTACAGCTTTAATTTACAGCCTGTATTACATTTGTGACACTGCACCAAACCTTCTCAAAGGGCCGGGAACACATCCACTTCCAGTTTGCATCACTATTTCGATACCAGTTCAAGGGCCCCCTGTAAAATAAAGCCCAAAGGTTACTCAGTGATTCTCCACAGAACTGGATAATTTAACTGACTGTTCAGGAATATTTGCTTATGACATCAAATTTCTTCACCTCTTCAGCAGTCTACAATTTGCAAAATACTCATTTTAGTGCCACAAACATAAAAGCAGGAACTGCAGGATGTAATTAAAATGCAAATTTTAACAAAAAGCTGTGTAAGAATCACCCACAGTGGATGCTTTCATGTAATAAACATAAATATTATTTGTTGGCGAGCACACAGAAACACAATCTACAGGAAGCTGGAAAATCTGCAACCTGAAGCCTCTTTCTTTGTACTGGCTGACGTAGTACTGCAGGTCGGCTTCTGTCAGCATGGAGCTCCTGGGAATCTGCTCCGGCAGACCCACAAACAGGCCACCTGTGATAAAACGCACACACACAGCATGAGATCTGTGAATAAAGATTTAAAAATCTTCAGCATTCACAGCAAACACTGATAACCAGCAGGAAACGTCACCTCGAGCGCACACTCCTGCGGTGCTGAGAGGGGGACGACCCTTCTGTGGTACAGAGAAAAACATTCATCACGTGTGGGTGATTTTTCCACCTGTTTAGCTCTGAAACTGCACACTGCAATGCTGGGTGTGTGTGTACATTCGATCCACGCACCGCTTCACTACTGCTGGAAAAGAAAATCTTGAACGTCCTCTCCAAATCTTTCTCCAGCTCGGCCTCCGCCACACCCTGAAACACAAACCCCGCTTATGAAGCTGCAGTTTTTCTGTGACAGAAACAAACATTAATATATATATAACACTTACTGGTGTTTGGAAGTAGACCTGATAGTCGAATATTGGAATAGCCTTCAGTCTCTCGAAAGCAGGAACCAAAGGATTCAACTTGAACATTGGGGTGTTCAACGATGCCACAGCCCTTCACGCACATGGAAAAGCACTTTAACTTCACTGTACAGGCTCTGGGGGACTGTGTGTGTCTGTGTGTGTGTTTACCTGATTCTCTCGGGATAGAAGCGGGCCATGGCCCACACCAGGGAGCCACCCCAGTCATGACCCACCAGGGTGACCTGTGGTATGGACTGGAACAGGGGACCATAAGCTTTTGTGTAAACTTTAGTTATCATGCTATTCAATGACAGTGTTGACACTCACCATTTTATCCAAAAATACGACTAACTCCTGAAAAAAGAGAGAAAAATATGATTCAGAAAAACATTTTAAAACAACACTAAATCTGTAGATTTAATATTTTTGTAATGTGTACCTTACAAAGCTCCTCATGAGAATATTCCTCTATGTCTGTGAGAGTCAATACGGCAGGAATTACACCAACACTGAGCTGACTCCACACAAAGACTGTATATAAAGGATGGTTGTAGCTTCTCTGATGTCACACACTGGTAAAAGTGTGGTAGTTAAGCCTCAAGCTGAGCATTTTAGGTCTTTTGATCCTGGGCATTAAGGGCTAGGGGAAGTGACATATCCCTGCTGTTCATTATAAAGAATTTATACTGGGAAGCTACATACATCTTTTAAGTACAGTCTATATTTTCAGTCTTTCAGTATTTCAACCTACCAGGGGGCGCTGTGGACTCTCCATATCCTTTCATGTCCAGAGCTAAAACCCTGAATCCTGCTGCAGCCAAGGCTGGGATCTAGCACAGGGGTGAGAGGGTTGTTTAATGATCATGGCTTTTATTTCAGGATTATTGCAGGATTAAAAGAACCAAAACACCACCAACAACAAGTAAATATAACTGCAAACTTAAATAAATCAGAACAAAGACTTGAATTAAATGGAAAACAAGACAAACTATAAATATAAGAAGGGATATCTCTCACTCTTAGTGTATCTCATCTCAAACACCCTCTGAATACACTTTGGAAGGTGACTATTTCGTGCGTTCCAACATATCCAATGGAAACAGGTTACCTGGTACCTCCAGGAGTACCAGCTCTCCGGGAAACCGTGACACAGTAGCACCGGTGGACCGGAGCCCATTTCCACATAATGAGTCCTCACACCAGGCTGGAAAAGACAGCCAGCAGCATTTCAGCTCTGTGTTGTGTTTTCATAATTCAACAGGTTGCTGGCACTGATAGATATTAATACTTTTATGGTGATGTAGCCGTGGGACACTTCATCAGGGCTGCAGGCTGGTGGGGGGCTCACTGTTCCAACAGCCTGGAGATTCAAACGTATACAAATGTTATTAATGTAATCATTTTCTTTGTTGTAGTTAGATCTAAATGTGAGGGTCTTTAAACCCACTGCATCAGAGAAGATACTCAGAGTGACACAAACCTGAAAGCCAGTAAATTCAGACAGTTTCTCCAGAGCAGCATCCAGATTTTCCACCAAGACGGCCTTCATCCCTGCTCCCTCTGCGGCTTTTACACCCTCAACATCAGCATCCAGCCACAACGCCTGAATAGAGACAGATGACTCATAACATCTGATATACAAGAATTTAATCTCAGTGATGCTGCATATTTATTGTCTACATCACGAAACCCTCTACCTGTTTGGGTGTCACCCCCAGGCGCTGCAGGGCAGAGCTGAACATGGCGGGCTCAGGGACCCTGTGACCCAAGTGGCAGGACTGGAGGACCAGGTCAAAATGGCCTCCCAGCAGAGAGAGAAGGCGACCTGTGCCATCTCCAGCCGCTCTGTCATCTACCCAGTGATTGGCCAGCACAGCTGTCAGTAACCCTTTAGATCAGAGGTTGACGTAAAGATTAGACATCATTGGTAGTGACCTACTTTTTTCCCACAATGCATTTAAACAAGCAGGTAGCAGTGACAGTGACAATGTTCACTTTACGCAGATATCGTGCTGGAATAAAGGTGACGTAGACTGTCTCCTTCAAAGATGAGGGACACAGGAATTCAGAACAGAAATATTTTGCAGTGAGAGAAATTAAACAAGGTTTTTCAACCAGATCTGAATTTTTTTCTACTTATTTCTTTATGCAGAGGAAGCCAATGTGGACGTGGCTTAAACCTGCTTTCTTTCAACTCCTCTGGCTCCAACTCCTCTGTAAGTTTGCTTCTTTAAAGAGTGTTGTGTGTACCGCTGCGTCGCAGGCCAGCAGCTGTCTTCAGCACAGCTGCTTGGACGTCCATCATTGCCTCTGTGAGTTTGTCTAGCAGGCCTTTAACTGACCAATCAGACGGCAGAGTCACACTCCTGTCCCGGGCTTCCTGCACACACTCGGCCTCCAAAGCTGGGATCATCTGCACACAGACACACAGCTGTACATCAGTGAAATAGCAACAAAAGGCATGAAGTGAAACTGTAAATGTCTTCGCCCACCTGTGTAAGTGTCATGGCTCCTCTCTCAGCCTGCCTCAGGGCGCCGTCGTCTTTGGACTCCAAACTGGAGAGAAAACCTCTGAGAAACAGAGCACAAAACCTCAGATTAATGCGGTGATTAGAAACTGAGAGGGGCGAGCCTTGGTGGTTTTTATCTATAACACTCAGCTCTCAGGCAAATGTTTACTGAACTCTTAGATCAGGTCTGAGATGAAACAGAATCAGCTAGAAGTGCCTGCAAAGAGCAAAGACTTTGAGGAAGTTATACGTTTTTGCAAGTCAGAATAAAAGTTACACAATCGAACGAAAAGGCAGAGATGTTAATTTAACAGACTGGACCTGAGTCCAGTCTGTTAAATTACTGAGAGGTAATCCAGAAAATCCCTGCTGTAAGTATTTCTGAGACCTCTATCTCATCAACATGATCAATACTTGATTTCAAAATGTTATGGACACAACTTTTGTGTTGTTGCTGTCTAAAATTAACATTGTTATTAACAAAAAGTTGCCAAGTATGTTCACATATTTTTGGCCATGTAGTAGCTTACGTGCACCTGCTCATTTCCAGCAGTTAAGTCAAATATTTCTTTGCTGTTGTAATAATTATCCAGCTTGAAGCGCAGATCTGATATCCACACTCACTCACACTGTAAATAAACAATCAGAAATTCGTGCAGCAGCTGCGTATTTTATTGGCTTTTTTGTTTTGTTTTTTAATATAATCAAATATAAACACAAAGCGGTCTCCATACGACACATCTGTGCGGTTCAGAGATGTTACAAAACGGTCACTGCTTACCCCGGTAGGTTGTGCAACTCTTCCAGCTTTTTAAAAATGGCAGCATGTCTGGCAGAGACGGCGACTCCCCAGAAGTTGAACAGGATGGCTTTCTTATCAGCCATCTCTCGATCGGTTCTTTTTGCTTTCTCCAAACGGTATTCAGGATCTCTGCTGCTGCTGCTGCTGCACCCGTGTACAGGGTAAACTTTGCCCTAATAGACTCACTGCGAGTCCACCCACTTACCCAGTGAGCTCACACTTAACTGAAAAACAGCGGCGAGACCAGACATGCACGTGACTTCTCGCAACAAACCAAAATTTTTGTTGAAACCAGTTCCACGAATAAAAGACCAAACATGTCCTCTTTATGTTTAATAATGATAATAAAAAGTACGTTAAACAACAATTTAAAAAAACTATTCAAAACTTTTTAGCGTCTGTGTGACAATGATCTACAAATGAAACATTTCTTTTAAAGTTGTAAAATGCTACTATCATACATATTATTATTATTATTATTATTATGTTTTAAAGGCAGTGACTACATGATACTACTCTGTAGCTTCATCGCTTCAAGTCGGTGTTTCTACTTTACAAGTTTTGAGCAGCTGTTAACATAGTTGACTCATATTTGCAACGTGTCAGGAAGAGTTTTTTTTAGCATTCTTCTATAAATATGAAACATTTTCATGAAACATTGACAAAATATAAATCTAATTAAACCAAACAAAATAAAAAGCAGCAAGTAAAGAAGGAAACATCAGACACAGCAAATCACACCAATAATGAAATGAGATGAACAAATTATTTAAATGGACAAATGTTAATTAAAAATAAGAATGTTGTTGGGCGTCACTTTCCTTCTGCTACACAGACATATTTATGTACTGTTGTCGTCAAACAGGAAGAGATGAATCTGTGCTGTTTTGGTCCAGTTTGTGCTCACAGTCATCTGATTAGAAAACAAGAAAAAAAAACAGATTAATTTAGAAGTCAGAGTTGAAAACAAGCAAACAGTGAAAATATATATATGTATACACACAAATGCATGGATCAACCGGAACACATACATATTAGAATAATTTAGAATAAAATCTTCAACACCAAGTGTTCTTCTGAAGTTCTCAGGTTTATCCATACTCAATACTGATGGACACGGTACTGCATGGGGAAGCTGTTCTTTCCTGCTGGGCACTGACAGAAAATAAGTGATATTAAAATTATAATGTAATTCATGGTACAATTAGTTTTAGTTTTCTTAAAATCTGAGTGATAATGAGATTAATGATTGTACTTTAGTAACTAAACTGGCCTCAAATGAACTTAGGTGGAGGTTTTAAGTAAATACACAGGGGGCGGTCTTAGCCTGTTTGGTGCCCTGGGCGAACAGATGCTGATCCGGCCAGCCAGAGAATCCCGCGCCGCCCCCACCACGATGCCGCCCTGGGCAACTGCCCGTGTCGCCCATATCAAAAACCGCTACTGTAAATACAATATATGTCAATACAATGTTAAGATTAACATTAATGAGGAAAATATCAGACAATCAAATGTGTTGTCTTTTGGAAAGTTGGTACATAATGTACATATGGCAGTCTAAATTGTGGATTTGGTGCAGATAATTGTACAGAAAAACATCAAAAACATTATTTCATTCCCACCTATCACAGCCATTCTGGTGTTCCTTCTCAAAGTTTTCAAATTTACCCATAGACGTCTCACTTCTCATGGAGACACAGATTCCTGGAGGGGTGATTTTTTCCTGGTGGTCTGATAGAAACACACACTTTGCCTTAAAATACATGTTCTTGGCGAAATACATTTAGATGAAGATAGAAGTCTTCCATTAAAAAATAAATACATGTGCTATTTTAGTATTTTCAGTGGTGATCCTCGTGGTAGTAAACTGATACACTTGGTTGGTAAACATCAGAAAAGGAGAAATCTGTTTTCCTGGTCCAATGGTCATATCTAGTGTACTCTACATGTTTAATGTCAGTGAGACTTTTTACACAGATAAATAAAGGCCAAAAACTGATTGCAACTTCTACTTTGTGACATTCATGAGGGATATATGTGAAATAAAATTGGATGACAGATTAAGGAACAACAACTCATTCATGACAATTTAAATACTGAAAATCCTTTTTTAATCAAACACTGTAAATCACTCTCTGCCGCAGGGCTATCAGACAGACAGACAGACAAAAGAAAAAAAACATGCTTCTTTCATTTTTGTTTCATATGCTTTATTTGCTTTATAAATGTTTTGCTTTTGTCTTTTCCTTTGTAGATGGTCTGACTCAGCAAATATCTGAGTGGCAGTTTGAGATTTCTCCTTTAGCCAGGCAACTCACAGTTCCACACCAGGTGGAGGCAGGACAACAACTACTGTTATGCCTCAATGAATACGGGCTCGGGGATGAGGGGAGACTAGAAAAGAAAAAGGCAAACAAAGCAAGTGTGAAACTCAAGGTTTTTAGTAAAAAGGACTCAACTCAAAGAAATGGCTACACTGCTATTTCAACTAAACAAAAGTCATCCACAAACTAAAATACCCTAAGGAAAGACAAAAGAAATGGTTTACCAAATTAAAGGTACACTTCTGCTGCCAGCAGATACCTGCTACTCACCAGCAGCTCAAAGAAAACACCAAGTTTTAACATATGCAGATTACGCCACTAAATCTCACCACCAAAGACTGGTCCACACACTGACTGAGCAGTGATTCACTAGCTTAAATACGTGATTAGGAATCTTTCTGTACTTTTAGGTGCTACCTTATTATCAAAAGGGTTGCAATAGCAATTGATCTACATACACGTTTGACCTGACACAGAAGACTTTCACTCTAATCAATATAACAATAGCAACACATATGATGGCTTCTACACCTGTCAAGGCAGCTTTGCAGCAGACAGGAGTTGGATTCAAAATAAAGGGCCCATAAGCTTAAAAGCAACTTTATTGCTGAGGTTTAACATAATACAAACTAAAGCAGAACAGAAACAAAATATCCAAAACTTTTATTCTTCTTGGGAAACAGACAATGTAGCAGGACACAGCCACAAGAAAAAACATGACAAAAGATGAGTGGCAACTGAGCGAATACACACAAAAACAGAATAACAACAACATAAGACAGGAAATAAATAACACTGAGACCAGGACTAAGACTTAAATGAACGAGTCTGACACAGAGAAAGAAAACAAAACACACAAGACTGAGGGGACAGAATGGGAACACAAGAGGGGGTTAACCTAAAGATTTAGAAACCGAGAACTAAAGACATGAAACCACAACACCAAAGGTATCCGGAAATAATAAGACATGAAGACACTAAGAAATAACAGAGATATTAACATATAATCAAAACAGAATACAAAACTATAAAACAAAGATGATCAAAGAAAACTCAAAACATCCCTAAAGCTCAAAGACACAGGGACCATGGCAACACTAACATGATGTTTTAATAAGAAATATTAAGTTTTCATCTAAAATCTGTTTTACTGGACTTAACGTAAAATATTTTTAAAAGTGTAATTTTAGACTTGATTCATCTTAAATACTTCTGAAATGATAAGTTCATTTTTAAAGCACTTAAAGTGTACCATGTTGTTTGTTTCTTTTGTACAGGTTTTTTTTTTCAATAATCAAAAGAAGAAAAAATCTATATAAAAACGTACATAGAAACTATTATTTGAAGTAGTATAGTATATTGGTGCATTGTGTACACTGCTCGGTAAACATAAGAGGACTATGTCTGTGAAGGTTCTCAGTCATCCAGGTCATCGTAGTTTAAGGAGCTTGGAAAGAAAAGTGTCTGGACTTAAGAGGACTAGTTTTGACGTCTTCTGGTCCAATGGCGGCATCCAGTGGACCCTCCAGGCATTAAGAGTTCCGCTTTTTACAGGATGCGTTCTTATGAAAACTGGGAGTAACGACATGACTGGCGGCATTTTTCCTAAAGTCGCCAACGCGTGGACACACGCAGAAAATAAAACCGTCTGTGTGATATCTGAACACAGTGCCATACAGGTAAGATTCATCAAGAAGAGCTGGGCGGTTTTTAAAATGTAGAAACTTTATTGCTGTTTCCATATGAGATATGCAGGCAAAGGAATGACAGGCTCACACTTTTGGGCTTTCCCACTGCAAAAACACTGAGGCTAACAGCTGTGGAGGAAAGTTTTCCTGATGCCGTTGCACAGACTCGCAAGATGCGGTTTGTGTTTTTGTAGGTGACCTGATGGTAAAGAAACCAAAAATTTTGTTCTTGGCTGAACTGTAACTTATTACAGAGAACATGAATTAATGAATCGTGTTCACATGTTCAGATATTATCTACCTCCACGCCCTTTTTTAAATTAGGGTTATATATGGCAAAGGCCAAATAACCCACTTCTATTTTTGTTTACCTTGTCAAGAAACGCCCATATAAACACGCCTACAAGGCATTCGCTTTTTTCCGGTTCGCGCCAAAATCATTCACGCTCATAAACCCGCGGCAGACTGTGGCGCACGGTGGACAGCAAACGGAAGGCAGGCAGGAGTTTGTAAAGAGGTTGTCCAAAGTTGTTTGGTCGAAAAAGTTGGCGGCAGGTGCTGCTGAACTTCAAAACATCTTCATCCTGCAACATCTGGACTCACAACTCGTCTTGCCGTTCTTGTCTTGTTTACGGAACACCCACAGCTGACAGAAACAGCCGGAAAACACGGGCCGGATTACCGGATTACGGTGCTAGACGGATTTGTGAGTAGAAGCGAGAGGAAAGAATTAAAATAAGGAAAAACTTTTGTATCTGTTGTTGTGGGGGAGACTTTTTTGTTTTTTAAATGGCAGGAAAAGGCTCTTTATTAGAACAGTTTGTTTTTGTAAATGAGGTTAATGAGAGAGCAAAAACACAGAGTTTTCAAATTTGGACTGAATGTGTGCTGGATTTTGTTGGGCTTTTTGGGATTTGGAGCATTTGACAAATTGTGCAGTTTTTAAAAAAAAGCATTTTATTTAGATTAGCTGGCGTTCGGGCAACATGTTGCTGCGGGTGTTAGCACTGTGGGGCAGCGCTGTTACCCCACAGCAAGATGGTCCTGGGTTCAAATCTGTGACTTGAAAATTCATGTGTGGAGTTTGTATTTTTGTAGTGGATTTATATTGGTGATTCCATAGGTGTGAAGTTGAGTGCAAATGGTTGTCTTTCTCTGGGTGTCAAACAAGCAACCTGTCCATGGTGTACCTCACCTGTCACCCCATGGACTGAACTGTGACCTGGATAAGTGGAAGGAAATTGATGCTTGTGGTTGATTTGCATTGTTCCTCCTCCATCCAAGGTTCATTTAAAGGATGAACTCTCCTTTCCAGTACTTTGGCACAAGATTCCCACAGTGGGTTTCCAATAACCTGTTCTCCAGTTTTGGTTATCCTAGGTAAATTGTAGCCTGTTGTTCTAATGTGATGGGAGTGGCGCCCAGTGTGGTTCTCTGCTGCTGCCACAGTGTCTACTACAATTAAGTTGCAATCTTCCAAACCATGCTTTGCCTTAGAGAGGTTAAACACGACTCTCTCCATGCACTTGCCCAGCATTGATGTTAAAGCAACACATCTGTAATCAGCTGTATGTTTAACTTTCTTTCTTTTTCTTTTTTTAGACAGAACGGTGCAGAGTGCACCCAGAGTCCAGCAGAGTGCAGAAGGCACTGGAAAAAATCAAGTAAGGGCCTATTCCAACTCAGTAGCACAGGTCTTCAGCACATAATCAGCTGACACTGTTTTCTGACCATGAGGTTTAGACCTTGCCAAGCATCATGAAAATTAC